AGGGGCGGAGCTTTACAGATATGAGTTAGGGAGGAAAAAAAGTAAGGGTACAGTTAATCATAATCTATAAAAGAGTTTTAGGCTAACGCAATAAGATAAATAAGTATTAATGTAAGGACTAGGATTGAAAGATTGAAACGGCGTTTTTCCTGCTGTAAATCAAAATTTTAATCAGAAGTCGTCTTCACTATATTGATATAATCATCGCCTACCACTGTAGTTAGAATTGTTCTGAGTTTTGCAGATATTTATTCTTGAAATAGAAAGGATCCATATTGAAGACTGCATATAAGGATGTAAGATAAATGGTATTGAAGACTGCATATAAGGATGTAAGATAAATGGTATTGAAGACTGCATATAAGGATGTAAGATAAATGGTATTGAAGATTTGAAAGAAGAAGTTTTGTAGGGTTTATTCTTAGGATGAGATAATAGAGTAAGGGAATTCTAGGATTTTTATATTGGAAGGAGGTTGCATGCACGACATCCAGATACAAGGATGGAAAAAGGAAGAGGGGTTGAGGAAGGATGAAGGAAGGATGAAGGAAGGATGAAGGATGGATGGATGAAGTACAGAGGAAGGAAGGATAGAGGAAGGAAGGATGGATGAAGTATAGAGGATGGAGAAAGGATGGATGGAGGAAGGAGGAAGGATGGAGGAAGGATGAAGGAAAGATGGAGGAAGGATAGAGGAAGGAAGGATGGAGGAAGGAAGGATGAAGAATTGAGGAAGGTTTGATAAAGTTGAATTAATGCACCAGATAATATGAATTTTGAAGAAATGAAAGAAATGACCTTTTTAACCCTGAGGCGGAATCTTAAGAAAAAACCTTATAAAGAAGTAAACTGAGTTTAGACTAAACAAATAATATTAGGTCCAATTTGAGACAAAAACTTCGTTTTCTCAGGAATGAACAGACTTTACTGAAAACTATTTTTTAATGTTTTGTATATCAATCAATCCATTAATTCCCGACACCTGAGGCCGAATTTAAAGAATTTGAGCAGCGGTTTAAATTTAAGCCGCGGCTTAATTATGGTTGTTTCACTTAAAATTGTATCAAATGTTTCAAGATCTAAGCCGGCGCTCAATTTAAACCGGGTTTTGGCGGATTTAAGCCGCGACTTAAATTCTTTAAATTTGGCCTCGGGATTAATGTTTAAAGGGATTGTTAAGTGTAAGCGTAATTTAAAATGACCCTTCATGCAAAAATGTCAATGAAAATCTACTTTTGTAGAGAAACAACAAAAAAAAGTAACTAGTTTGAAAAAACAAAAAAACATGAAAATGTTCATAACTGATCAGATAACTTCGTTGGATAAAGGTTTTGAGGGTATCCTTGTCAATCGAACAATGCCATCTTTTCAAAGAAGGTCGCATTAGATTACGGTCACAGTTCATTTAAGTATCTCAAAAGTTGTATTCCCTGAGGGATCTGTAGAATACACATTAGAAAGAACCAGACATATTGCAGTCATGAAACCTACAGATTTCAACAAAATTTCTAGAAATAATCTTCAATAATGTTTTCAGATTTTAATTTAATATTTTCTACATTCCGTATCATTATTTTATTTGTAAAATAGAAGATGTAAGATGTAAGATTTAAGATGTTAAATATGTAGGATGTATGATATAATATGTTGGATTTGAATGTAGAATTTAAGATGTAAGATGTAAGATTTTAGATGTAAGATGCAAGATGCAAGATGCAAGATGTAAGATGTAAGATTTAAGATGTAAGATGTAAGATGTAAGATGTAAGATGTAAGATGTAAGATGTAAGATGTAAGATGTAAGATGTAAGATGTAAGATGTAAGATGTTTTGTTAAGATGAAATTATGAATGAATTTAGAAAATGCATTATTTGCGTAATCCCCACTCCTCCTCCTACGCATATATTTTTGTTGCATACGCACTACTACGCAGTGGTATCCAATTTGTAAACAAACACAAGGTTTTCGGTTGGAACTTAGATCAGATAAAATAATATTTTGTCAATTCAATAAACGCAACGTATAATTTAAAATAAAAAATGACATATTTAGGCATTAAAAATATCTAATATATCTAGCTTACAAGATGAATTTATAAGTCAAAGTTATAAAAATTATATCCATTACAAAATTCAGGGATATAAAAAAAGGGTTATCATGACTACAATTAAAGAATTTTTGGTTCAATTAGAAACATTGATCTTAATCTTAATGATTGAAAAAAATAATACATTTAAATTTCTGATTATGAATCTCTTGAACTCAAGAAGAACCAAAACTCATGAGAAATTATTAAAAACAATCTTGATATGTCAAAAACTACTTTTGATAATTAATATAATTAATTAATTAATGTTGAAGAACAGTGAGACCAGATAAACCTTCAAATATCATTTTTGTTATTAATTTTTTGAATAAATAATTTAAAATAAGTATTTTAAATCCTCCCGTCCTGACTGCGTATATATTCTGAATCCTCCCGTCCTGACTGCGTATATATTCTGAATCCTCCCGTCCTGACTGCGTATGTATTCTGTAAAAGGACCTAATATAATTAATTATTCCAAACCATGCCGCGCATATGCCGCAACTTCTTTCTTTCTAAAACATTGAAGATCACATTCTACCTATTTCAAGGTGGGTCAGAAGACAATGTATTTTAAATACGACTTTTAAATTATTTTATTTAATTTTGATACAAGATGTTCAACATCATATTGGATCGTTTTTAGCACGAAATAAAGATTTTCCGGACTGAAAAGAGAATTTAAATAAAATGATTTAAATTTTTTTTTATCGTGTTAATTAAAAGATTTACATGCAGAAAATACTAGGTTTTCAAAGTATTTTTTGTTTATTTTGGCGTTAAAGCTTGGATATAATCCAATATTATAGGGAAATGTTTACTATGAAAAAACACTCAATTACAAATTTTATCCTTTACAACCTTTATTATTATTCAGATATCTTTTAATTTCAACTCAAATTTTAAGCTATGAGATTGTGTTTGCGTGGCTTTTGAAAACCCCTGTAACTCCCATTTAAGAAAGAGCTGAAGTTACATATTTTCAATATCAAGTGGGCGGGAGGGAAAGGTGCGGCGGGAGGGAAGGTATGGAGTGAGGGAACGGTTAGGAGAAGGTTGGCCGGGAGGGGAAGGTGTGGAGGGATGGGAAGGTGTGGTGGGAGGGGAAGGTGTGGAGTGAGGGAAAGGTTGGGAAGAAGGTTGGCCGGAAGGGAAGGTGTGGCGGGTGATTAGGATGTGGCGGGAGGGGAAGGTATGGCGGGAAGGGAAAAGTGTGGAGGGAAGGGAAAAGTGTGGAGGGAAAGGAAAGTGTGGTGGGTGGGTAAAGATGTGGCGGGAAGGGAAGGTGTAGCTTGTAGGGTAATGTTTCCTTGGATTGAAAGGGAGGGGAAGATGCATGGCGGGAAGAGAAGGTTTTATCTATCTATGAATAAGTTCTAATTGTTGGTATTTATTTTATCTTAAAATATTATTGTTTAGTGTAAACGGTATCAGCACCCTGGAGGATATATCATTCTGTAAACATCTTCAAGAGTTATATATCAGGAAGAACAAAATACCAGATATATCAGAGGTGTTTAAATGTCTTGATTTGAATTTAACTGCTCGTGCGTAGCGTGATTTTTTATTTCCGGATGGAACCCACTGTGTTACAAATACAAAGAAAATTATTTTAAAATAAATTTTTTACTCTAAAATTCTTGTTGCTTTTAAAATGTATTTTTTTTTCAAAGCTGGAAATTTCGTTGCTTAATCTTAAAGATGCCCATTGGTTTTTAAGTATATTTTTTTGGCATTGAAAAAAAAACATATATAAACTCATATATTTTATATAATAACTGAGCAACTGAAGCATCAAAAAGAATTTATAGTTTAATATAAAACATCTCTTTAAAATGAAACAGATTTTAGACAATAAGATTGGCCTTATTTGTTTGATTTCATAAAATGTTAGGATTGTAATCAAAGGAACTGATTACTTGCAACAAACTCTAATTTTCTAATTCTCATATCTTTACACCAGAAATCTTGGATCTTTGGGCTTTAATATGAATTCTGAGAGTCAAAGTTAGCTTGGGAACCCAACCTTGCCTGGAACCTTAGTTAGCTTGGGAACCCAACCTTGCCTGGAACTTTAGTTGGCTTGGGAACCCAACCTTGCCTGGAACCTTATTTTTCTCTTCAAAAGCCAACCCACTCAGCTTGGAATCTTTTAATCAAACTGAGTAAATTCCCGTGGCTTCTACCGATTTTCCAAATCATAATATGAGGCAAATCGGTCAAGGGGCTTCTGGGTTATGATTGGACATACGAACAAAAAACAGATTGTTCAATTCCTTTTTTTTAAATTGCAAATATTAAATTATTTAGATTTGTTGGTTGGCAGATTTACCCAGGCTCAAGAACTTATGGTTGGAGGAGAACCCTTGCTCAGAGGGAGGGGCGGAGCTTTACAGGTATACTGGGGGCGTAGCTTTACAGGTATACTAGGGGCGTAGCTTTACAGGAATACTAGGGGCGTTGCTTTACAGGTATACTAGAGGCGTAGATTTACAGGTATACTAGGGGCGTAGTTGTACGTACAGGTATACAGTATACAGGGGCGGAGCTTTACAGATATACATGGGCGTAGTTTTACAGGTATACAGGGGCGAAGCTTTACAGGTATACAGGGGCGGAGCTTTACAGGTATACTAGAGACGTAGCTTTACAGGTATGCAGGGGCGGAGCTTTACAGGTATACAGGGACGGAGATTTACAGGTATACTAGGGGCGGAGCTTTACAGGTATACAGGGGCGTAGTTTTACAGGTATACAGGGGCGGAGCTTTACAGGTATACAGGGGCGGAGCTTTACAGGTATACTAGGGGCGGAGCTTTACAGGTATACAGGGGCGTAGTTTTACAGGTATACAGGCGCGGAGCTTTACAGGTATACAGGGGCGGAGCTTTACAGGTCCAAGGCGGATGCAATGAGACGAGGACTGGACCTAGTCCATCCTCTGGAGGGTGGAGGGACTATAGGACAATCAGGTCCAGGGGGACAGGGGTCCTCTATGGACTATGAGGACGAAAGACGATCAATCAAGGTTTGAACACAATAAATAAAAAATATTTTTAAAATGGATTACTCGCCTAAAACATGAATTTTCCTATCTCAATCTTTATATCTTTACAACCTGATGGAAAGTTTTTGATTTTTTAAACTTTTAATTTAATGATTTAGAGGTTAACAATGTCAAAGTCTTATAGATAAGATTTTATAGAAGTATCAGTAAATTAAAGTTTGAGTCAAGTAATCAGTTTTCCTAAACTTTATCGATTAGAAAAGTATGGTATGAATAGGACACTGGATAAACAAGGTAATACACAAAGGATGAGACTTCAGAGACGACTGTTCAGAATTTATATATTCACGATTCTCTGCAACTGTAAACTGTAAACTGTAAACTTGTTGTTTCTTTTCAAATCATTAAATAAGCCATTAAAAGAGAATATGTATCTAAGGCAGAAAACTTAATTTACCATGAGTTTCAGTCTAATACTTTGTTATCAACTCTGTTTTATAAAAAAATACTGAAACAGGAAGATGAGCGGAAAATGTCAAGAAATCAACAACAACAGCAGTATTATGAACAGGATGTTGAGTACACTAGAAGGGAAAGTGTTCAGGTATTTCTTTTAAAGGGGAGTGACCGGCTATGTAAGGTAGTTGAACTGAGTATGCAGTGTTGTGGAAAACTTCTTTCGGGGGTTCATTTGAGACATATAAAACTTTTTAAAGATCTGTAAATCCTGAGTTGGAGCGCAAATTCGACGTTCAAAACTCCTAATTTTGGTGGTGGGTACGTTTTCTTCATACTCAGTTCAACTACCTTACATAGCCGGTCACTCCCTTTAAAGGGACTGTAAGCGTTATTTCAAGTGACCCCTCATACAAATATCCGATTTACAACGTACCCTTGAAAGCTTGAAAGTTTGAAATAGTTATCTTTTTGTTCCTTTTAACTATTTATTTTCATTTGCAGTTTCTCTGCGAAAGTGACTTGTGCAATTTATTCAAACAAATTGCAATGGAGAACTCGCGGAAATAAACACTGTTGGAGTCAGAAAAACTATAGTACATTCCACATAATTGATTAGATAAAGGTTTCAAGGGTACCGTTGTAAATCGGACATCTTTGCATGGAGGGTCACTTGAAATGACGCGTACAGTCCCTTTAATATAGAGGCTAACATTTTTGGATGGGATAGCGCTGAGCCACATCAATTAAACTCGATATTAAAAACTTCTGAAATTTTCTGGGGGCAATTCCCCCGGAGATAATGATTTAAAGATAAAGGGGGGGCTAAGTCCGATGTGCAAGGGGGTGGAGAACAAGCGCGAAATGAACAGACTTTAAAAGTTTTGATCTCCGAGAAAATAAAATACGCTAATTTTGATTTTATATGATCGCTGATAACTGAATTATAATCGATCATTTATTCTCAGCCGTTCACCAAAACCCTATATCTAAAATTATGAAAATATTTTCGTTTTTTTATTAAATAAATTATATAGATTTGTATTTATTTTTTTATTCATAGAGCCCATCTCGTCGTGTGAGCAATCAAGTTATCGATGACCAACGACTACAATATTCACAGGTTTTTTAATAGACATTTTATTAGACATTTAACTAGACATTTTACTAGACATTTACTAGACATTTATCTAGACATTTTATTAGACATTTTACTAGACATTTACTAGACATTTTACTAGACATTTTACTAGACATTTTACTAGACATTTTACTAGACATTTTACTAGACATTTTACTAGACATTTTAGTAGAAATTTTACAGAATCAACCGTGCATCCTTGTTTATTAAACCAAGCCCTGTAGCTTGAATTTTTATTTCTCAAAGGTCTATCAACAATCTTTTTTAAATTTTGATAATTTTAAAGTTTTTAAAAACTGCAGGGCTGAAAAATAAAATACACTAACAAACATTAATTAGCACCTTGCAATTATAAATTACATTTTCGATGCTTTTTAAAAAAAGAAAATATAAAAATTTTCCAACCTTGGCATTGGCATATACACAACGCAATTTTTACATCATAAATGTTTTTTTTGTTGATTTTCATGACAACTGTAGTAAAAAATGTAATTTTGGCATAACGTGTTAGGGAAATTCCAATGTTGGCATAAGAAATAATTTTTTACGGAATTACTTGTAAACCTTTGCGACCTCAGTACTCCTCTAATTTTGGTTTTATACCGAAGAACACGATTAGCAAACTTTTTTGGTTGCAAAATAGGATTACAAGTTTTTCCTTATCAATAGCTTTCGAAAAAAGGATTAATTGAATGCATGTATTTGAACCTACACTAACATTTGCCTAAAGGGACTATTATAAGTGTAATTTCAAGTTTGACCCTTTTTACAACGATACCCTTAAAGCTTTGTCTGAAGGTATAATTTAGATTTTTTTTGCTTAAACTGTTTATTTTTATTTGCAAAAGTGACTTTCGCTTTTCTTGCTTAAAGGAAATAATGGAGAAAATATCAAAATTAACCGCTTTTCAAGTCAGTACCGTTGTAAATCTGGCATTGCCATTTTTGCATGGAGGGTCAATTGAATTTACGCTTACAGTCCCTTTAAGATGAATGCAGCTTCTATTTGTTTTCATGTAATTTGTCTATGCCGAATAAAAGCTTGCTAGAAAGCAAACATATGTCATCATCTGTCCAAGAAATGGTGAGTTTAGGGATTTTAGAGACTGCGATTTAAATGATTCGGAAAAAATTAGTTTCATGAAGAAAAGACTTTAAAAGACTTAAAGGGACTGTATACGCGTGATTTCAAGTGGCATTTTCAAGATGGCAATGTCCCATTCACAACGGTACCCTTGAAACCTGTATCTGTTCAATAATGTAGAAGACGTTGATGCTTTTCCTCCAACATAATATGAGCAAGTCACTTTTGTAGAAAAACCACAATTGAAATAAACAGTTTTGAAAGCTATAACCAGGGAGTAAGGAAGGGAGATATGAATGACGCGGTTCGCCCTACCATATGATTATACATGCTTTGCAGACGGTACTACATTTGAATAAGAAATATTGATGTATAATTACCGCGTATACAAAAACCTATTCTAAATATTTCTTATACAAATGGAGTACCGTCTGCAAAGTATGTATGTATTCAAAGGGCTTTTATATTCCTTTATGACCTCTGCTAATGTATTGATTGATTAATAACCCTGGCATGTACAACTAATTAACTGCTTAAATAATACAGTTTAATAACCTTAATATAATACTGTGCACGATTAACTTAACTTTTTTTATAAATATTACTTTCTATACAAATCAATTCAGCAAAAAGCTTTAAAATTATTGTATTATTTTTTTTCAAAATTATTTGGCTGTTTTAAGACCGTATGGCGAATAATGTATTCTGTAAAGTGTTTTTTTCAATGGATTTTAACTAAATCGTAATTGTTAAATTTAAACGCTTGTCTCTTAAGTATGTCTCTATAACAGACAGTTTTAATTTCAACATTTTTTCTTGATAGTATAACTTGAAAAACACTGAACTGTGTTTAAAAAAAAACTTTAATCTGAAATTATAACCTATTTGGTTATTCAGTAACCAGAGCTCCGGAAGACGACCTCCGACAACCAAAGCTCTGGAGGATGACCCTCCGACGAACTAACATTATTATGTTTAGTATCCCGTGACCAGAGCTCCGGAGGATGACCTCCGACGAATGAGTATACGAGAAGAGAATACAGCCAGGTAAGCTTTATCTTCCTCTAACAGTAAAAACCAGAAAACAATGGAATAAGAAGACGACATTAAAGTAATTAACGTTAATTTGATGTTGTTACAAAGCAAACCGTTTTATTAGACACTTATTGAATCACTAATTTAGTGAAATGGGTCTGTTTACAAGCTGCCTAATTGATATGTTTTATGATCATTGGACTTATTAAAGTTACTACTTTCACAGTTTTCTGGTTATCCTTGTATTAAAAGAGATTGTTCGTGAAAATTAAAGAAGGATTGAACTTTAAAGGGACAGTCCTCGTAATAATAAGTGGCCCTCCATTTAAAAAGGTGTGGCCATTTTAGGTATTAATGTCTGGTATTCAAAAGTTGTAAAATTGAAAAATTCTGGAAAATTGAGTTGATTAATTAAAATACCATGGTTTTGTGTTGTCGATGCTGGATTGGTAGATTCGTGGAACAACCTAAGAGAAATCTTGAATGAACGATGGTTGGGAGACCTAAGCCCCAAGTTTCCAGAAGAAATTCTGCGCCTATAAATTTTTCGAAATGTGTACTCAAAGCATATGTTTCACAACGGTACCCTTGAAATGTTTATCTGATCACCGAGGGGAGGAAGGTCAGCCACGACAATTTCTCGTCCGAGCCACATTCTCCTCATTTTTTCGTCCGAACCACCTCGGAATCCTCGTCCTTCGATTATTTTTTGTTAAAAAGTTTCCAATTCTTGAAGATACTATTTTTTAAAAATCTGGCCACGTTAGGGCATAAAATATGGATGGACTAAAGTATCATGTTGGAATCTTCAAACCCATGAGAATGATGTCAAACTTTATTTAGGTAAAACTTAAATCTCTTCTGCCTCCGTAATGGCTAACCTTCGTGATATGAAAAAAATAGCAAAATATTCGGCATACCTCTGCCTATAATTTTCCCCATGGAACCACCCGGAAAAATTGTATGGTTTTCACTAAAGTTAACAAAAAAGATTGAAGTTCTATAAACTTGGAATTATTTGCGGCATTCCACACCAGGAATATCTGAAAATGCGCGTAAAAAAGGTGAACATTCTTAAAGACATTAAACTTGAAATCTTTAATTCAATTGAAACTTTTTTTTCGATTTATAAAAATTTGATATTTCATTTTTTGCCCTAACGTGGCCCGATTCTTAAAAAATAGTTTTATATAATCTGGAAGGATTAGACACTTAAAAAAATAATATTGAAAGGACGAGGATTTCGAGGTGGCTCGGACGAGAAATTGTTGTGGTTGGCCTTCCTCCCCTCGATCACCTAAGTGGAAGAAAACGTTTTAAGGACTTGAAAGAATTAAATTCTGCAAATTTCTCCACAAGCAAGAAATGCACAAGTCACAATTTTGCGAAGACAGCAGAAACGAAAACAATTTTCAAACACAAAAACATGGATATCTTATACCTACTTGTCAAGACGAAACTTTAAGGGTTCCGCTGTAAATCGGACATGTCACTTAGCACTCTGTCAATAGTGGGTCCCTTGAAATCGCAATCCCTTTAACTGTATCATTGGTACAATTCTACAGTTTTATCTTTTATTTATCTTTATGTCGGATTTATAAAAAACAATCATAGGGTAAACATAATTTTCTCTGTAAGCAATCCCATTTCCCATCCTTGGTTTTACAGATTCTGATTTATGTTAAATATTTAAATTGTACGAAATTTTCGAAAATTCAAATCTTAAGAAATAATTTAATATTCAATATTCTTCTCACTGTTTGTATACAGCAAAGAAAACGAAAGAATGTAGTCTTAGATCTTCATTTTTCTTCAAGAATTTTATAATTTGCAATGGTTGTATTTAATACTTCTATCAAAATGTCCCCGGCCACCTTTTTAAGAAATAGTTCATTTGCAAATTACAAATACTGACATATAATAATAATTAGAAAAATAAGATTACGAGAATTTGACTGTTTTTTGGGTTTTCACTTGATTTAAAAAAATGTTAGGTGCGTGTCCAAAGGTTTTTTCCCAAGCGACAACTTCCCAAGGGTATTATCCCAAGTGTAATCTTCCAACCTGTGCAATTTCCCACGCAAAAAGTTCCGAAATCTGTTAAAGCTGCAGTGCTCGGCCCCCTAGCATGTTCTATCCGCAGCGCTAGGCCCCCAGACCATCCTAGTAATAGCTCTTGGCCCCCATTGCAGAACGCCTAGCCTACCTGTGGGAAGTTGCCTATTTTGGAAGTTGCCACTTGGGAAGTCGCCCTTGAAAAAACACCTCATCTTTCCATATTGTAGGTATAGTGAAGAACCCTACCGTCCCCAGAGGTCTAGTTACAGTGGTCCACCTCCGACCTCGTCTGACCTCTACTCTAGAGGTCAGTCTGAGTCTAGGGGTAGTTATGAGCCTCGAGGCCCGTACAACCAATACCAGCATGATTTCACCAGCAGATCAGCCTCTGTTCAGGTCAGCCTTACAATATTTTACCTGTCAGGTTTTGGTATTTTTCAAACATATTTTGGGAGTTTTCAAACATGTTTAAGAATTTCCCAAAGACATTTTTCCAATTAGAAATTTCCCAAATGTACAATTTTCCCCAGACACTTTCACAAATCATAAATGTACAGTTTATTCATGAGACATTTTCACAAATCATAAATGTACAGTTTATTCATGAGACTTTTTCACAAATCATAAGTGTACAGTTTTCTATCCATAGGCCTTTTTCACAAATCATAAATGTACAGTTTTCTATCCATGAGACATTTTCACAAATCATAAATGTACAGTTTTCTATCCATGAGACATTTTCACAAATGCGCTATAGCTGCAGCGCTTGGAACACCTGTCATATCTTATTTGAAATATAGTTTATTCGGAAAATTTCCCTTTGGGAATTCGTTTACACGGGAATATGACCTTGGGAATTAGCCACAATTGAGAGTTTTTGAAACATATCTCTCTCTCAGAAAGTACCAATCATTCAAATAATTGTGATTTCCGTTAAAAGTAAAAGTTGTAAAAAAGTTAGAATTAAGCCAAAACTATTTTTTTCAAAAACTGAGAGCTCTGTAAAGTTACATCTTCTCTAGGAATAGTTAACGACCATATGCTGCATGTATTAACTGCCTGATTTAATTGTTTAAAAAATGCATTTTCATGCTTCAAGTGTGGGTTTGTCAAGGGTTAAAGGATGGGAGTGTATTTTACAAGGCGCACCAATAAGATTATCTTTATTATAAAAACTAATTTTAATCAACAGAAAATGCGTTTAAGTTAAGTGTCCTATCCTCTTAACCTTTCTTGATAGATTAACTAACAAAGATCAGTTTTACAGGGTGAACCAATAAACTTGGATATTAAAGGGACTGTAAGCGTAATTCACAGTGAACCTCCCTACAAAGATAGCAATGCCCGATTCACAACGGCCCCTTTGAAACCTTTTTTTGATCAAAAGTGTGGGAGGTACGGTCGTCTTACGAGTTTTCAAAATGAGAAACGTTGATATCTATTCATACTTGATCAGACAAAACCTTGCATGGCGTGTCACTTGAAATTTCGTATTCAGTTTCTGAAAGTGACGACGTACTCCGGACGTAGTAAGATCGTTTATTATGATCTACACTTTATCGTTTTATAAAACAGAGATATAGAAAATTTCTTCATAAGTTAAATATGTTTGTTAAGCTTAAAGGGACTGTAAGCGTAATTTCAAGTGACCCTCCATGGAAAGAGAAATACTTGATTTAAAGCTTAAAAGCTTTGTCTGCTCTAGCATTATTAGAAATTAGTTCGATTTTGGTTGCTCAACAAAAATGCATTTATATTGCAGGAATACATTTCAGAGTTACGAACTGAGGGGATTTTTCTTTAGCTTATGACACCCCCCGGCCACCTATGAGTGTCTAAAAAATCGGTCAAGCCGTTTGGCTGGCTAAAGGCAACATATATATACATATATATATATATATATATATACGAATGTCTTGTTTTATTATATAGATAAGAATTAAACTCTTCTAAACATAACAAAAGCGACAATATCTTCCACATTATTGATCAGATAAAGATTTCAAGGGTACTGTTGTAAATCGGACATTGCCATTTTTGCATAGAGGGTCACTTGAAGATACGCTTACATCTCCGTCAACCATAAAGTACAGCCAATCTCACATATATGAATACAAGGGAAGAGCGCATTAAATGTCGTCTTGAAAAAAAATTGTAACAGCTGTAATGCTTCATCATTTAAATTTTGAAATTTTCAAGCAAGATAATAATTTTCATGTTTATTGGGTCACCCTGTATTATGGGAGGATTACTTGCCAAGCGCAAAATGATAAGTAATTCTTCTATTGGGATTAATAACAATGGGAATACTTCTTCTAATACATAAATTAAAAAATCCTAATTTGGATACACGATTCTTTTTTGATTAATAAAGTTGTATGTTTGATAACTCCTCGTATAAATATTTTTAATTGCACTGTGCTATGTTGGTTTTAGTTTTAACTAAAGTGTTTACTAACAGCTTGATGTGGAGGAGGGGGGTAGCAGGGCAACCACCCCCCTGGAGGAAACTCCAACCAGGGGGCCACGTTCAACTACCCCCCTGGTTAGGCAGGGTAGTAGGGCGGAGCTAGCCAGGGTTAGAGAGGAGGAGAGAGGACTTTCTTCTCTGGAGTTAGGAGGGGAGGGAAGGAGGAGTGGAGTACCATCCTTGGATCCAATGGGAGTGGTTGAGGCAGAAGGGAGTCAGGACTCAAGAGTGTCATCCCGTCAGGTTAATATTTAGAAGAGGACAAATCGGACAAATAGGACAATCGCCCATTAGGACAATGGACAAATAGTACAATTGTACAATGGACAAATAAGGCAATGGTCAAATAGGGCAATGGACAAAGAGTACAATGGAAAAATAGGACAATAGACCAATATGACAATGGACTTATAGGAAAATAGACAAATAGCACAATGGACTAATAGGGCAATAGACAAATAGGACAATGGACAAATAGTACAATGGAAAAATAGGACAATGGACAAATAAGACAGGGAAAAATATGACAATGGACAAATAAGACAGAGAAAAATATGACAACGGCCATACAGGACAAAGAAGCAGTAGGACAAAGAACAAATAGTACAAAGGACACTTATGAGAATGGGCATAAAAAGGTTAAAGGACAAAAAGAACAATGAATAATTAGGGAAAAGGACAAATAGGACAATAGACCAAGGAAAATTATGACGAATGACTTTAGGACAATGAGCATGTATGACAAAGAACAAATAGATCAAAGAAGAATTTCGATTGGCAAATAGGATAATGTGCAAATAGAATAATGTGCAAATAGGATAATGTGCAAATAGAATAAGGACACAAAGAAAAAGGACAAAAAGGACAAATAACAGACAGGAAAAAGAGGTCAATGGACGATAACTGTACTGCACTTAAAATACAAATGTAGAAAACACATGGAGTAGTTTTAAACAGCACGATATAGAGGATACGTAAGGATGTGTATTTAGCAAGTGCATTCTTATCAAGGAGATGAAATAGAAGGGAGATATAACTGATGCGGCCCGCTCTAACATATGATTATACATGCTTTGCAGACGGTACTTCATTTGAATAAGAAATATTTGTCCGATATACAATTACAGCGTATACAATTACAGCGTATACAATAACCTATTCTGAATATTTCTTATCAATGTGAGTACCCGTCTGCAAAGCATGTACAATCATATGGTAGGACGGGCCGCGTCAGTTGTATCTCCCTTCTATTTCATACTCCTTGATTCTTACGAAATAACACGGGGTTGAGATGCGTAAAGAAATTACGAAACTGCTCTGAATGTATGTAACCCTGTAACCCAACCAATTAGTTAAATTAACCAGCTGATAATGAATGAATTAATGACACTAACTATAACAACATAAACTATAGAGCCAATTTAGAATCAATTATAATATATGTCACATTTGGTTCATGGGTTTCTTTTATGGTCATTAGATTAACATAATCGTAAGTTTTCATTTTACACATTGTAACATAACTACTTATTTTGTCCGTTCATTCTTACTTTTTTAATTAACCACAGTAAGGTAAAAATCATATATTCAATGTACAGTGTACACTGTACATACGATTCAGTGTAAGCTTACATTAGGTCCATTGTACGATGTACATACGGTCCAGTGTAAAGTGTACATACGGTCCCGTGTACAATGTACATACGGTCCAGTGTTCATTAACATACGGTCCAATGTACAATGCACATACGGTCCAGTGTTTATGTACATACGGTCTAATGTACAATGTACATACGGTCTAGTGCAAAGTGTACATACGGTCTTTTGTACAATGTACATAAGGTCCAGTGTTCGTGTACATACGGTCTAATGTACAATGTACATACGGTCCAGTGTACAGTGTACATACGGTCCAGTGAACAGTGTGTGTATATTTAGATGTCTCAAGCAGATATGATGTCTGTTGTTAGCCAGCACTACAATAGTACGTATAGACAGGTAATATTAAGATGCTGCATCTGAAAATCTACGCAAATTCTACCAACTTTGATTGGTCTAATAAAGATTGTAAACAAATTTCGTCTTCTCTAACGAAAAAAGTTATTTTTTGTTTGCTTGGAAGTTCCATTCCATTTAATGATTCAAACTTTTTTCACCCAAATATTCACAAATGAATTGACGAGTTAATGGGTTTGAAATTTATACATTTATGCAAAATTATTTCTTTACTTATGATGAAACGAAAGACGACATTAGCTCGCATTTTTTTATGTTTAATATTGGATGTAAGCACTAGAAAAAACATATTTGACTACATCTGAAAATTTTCATAAAAGATTATTTGCTTTTTTTCATACCAAAGAGATGCGTAACTTATTCACAAATTCAAGTTTATTTCAACAAAAGATCCAACAAATGATTAAATAACTTTTGAAACACAATTAAATATTATTATTTTTTCTGACCTCTTGTTTATTAGGTTGACCAACAGCTAGAGAGTGCTCATCAGTTGCTGGCTGCGCGCAGGTCAACTTCCCCTCTCCAGAGACCCTACCCGGTCAGACCGAAAAACAGGGTAAAGTTGATTTTCATTATTTTTTTAAGTTTGAAGGAAGATATAATTTAGAAACTGTAGAATTGTATTCTTTTGATTAAAGAAGGATCGGCTTTTTAGTTTTGGTGACAAAATAACATAATTTATCATATTTGTTTTCGTTATTTTTTTGTTTTTCAAGTGTTGTATATTCTTAAATTCTATTATTGTAATCTTTAACATTTTGTTCTGTAACTCTAATATTATATTATCATATTCTATTCTAACATTTTATTCTGTAACTCTAACATTATATTATCATATTCTATTCTGACATTTTATTCTGTAACTCTAACATTATATATCATACTCTATTCTAACAATTTATTACATAACTCGATCATTGTATTCTTTTCTTCTAACATTGTATTCTAAAATCTATTCTTATTCCTTCTAGATCTCAAACGTTATATTCTATAACTCGATCATTTTTTTTCTGTACCTGTAATTGTAAATCGATCATATTTATAGCATTGTATTATTTATATTGATCATTGTATTCTATAGTTCTAACATTGGATTATTTATCTCGATCATTGTATTTTATAGTTCTAACGTTGTATTATTTACATCGAACTTTGTATTTTAAAGTTCTCACATTGTATTCTATAGCTCTATCATTGTATTCAATAGTTTTAATTTTGTATACTATAGTTCTAACTGTAATAAATACCGTAGCAAACCCCATATTTATAAACCTGAACATACCTAGATACATTATGTTGTAAATTGTCTGTAATTCTAACTGCGTTTGTAAATAACTACGTAAAACTTGTATTGTGATTGATCTAACTGAGCTGTAGACTTGTATTGTGATTAGCTTAACTACGCTTGTATATAACGATGTAAAGGTTGTAATTACGTTCATTAACTTGAACTGCATCATAGCACTCAAAATATAAGTCAGTTGGAATAATACTCCACATTGATTACGGTGTTAGAGTAATTATATGCCTCAGGTATTAACGAGAGGGACCTGAGCTTTGAGTCTTGAAAAATTGATATAGGTTAAGAATACTGATGAAGTCGTTTCTGGTTTGATATTGACTAAAGTATTATTGAATGGAATAGTTTGTGATTGAGTTGTATCTTGAAGACAGATACCTAAGGATACGGAGGGATATACCTGAATTGGTACCGATCTAAAAGACTTTGTTGGAGTAGGGCATTTACTACACTAACATTGTAATCTATTGTATTATATAGTTCTAACATTGTATTCTATAGTTCTAACATTGTATTCTATAGTTCTAGCATTGTATTCTATAGTTCTAACACTGTATTCTATAGTTCTAACATTGTATTCTAGAACTCGAATGTGTTGTCTGCTATCCTCTGCCTGATCAAGGAGATAGATGGACCTAGTTTAGAGGTTGTAGAGATGGCTGTCAGGTACAGAGTTGGGTCATATTTACGGCTTGGGTTTTCAGATTTTAGTTTCATCTAATTTTCCAGAGAGTTGAGTTCATTAAACAGAGCTGAAAACTTTAGAATGGGATATCCTTAATCCCGATCTGTTGACTAATCTGGAGATTAAATTCATTTGAAAAACAAGCCATATTTAATCTGGATATTAAGAAAAAGAGTGGATTAAGCATTAATCCTGATATCCACCATTCTATAGTTTTCAGCTGGTTAAATATCGGATTTGGCAGATTTTCATGATTAAAATTGGCGCATTCTGGATTTTGATAAGAACAAGACTCAGCATTGAGCCAAGTTTTCTACTGAGACCAACCGACGTAGCTACGTAAGTCGAATCTAAGATTTCGCAGCTGTCTATCACTGGCACACACTGTCGTCAGAGTTAAGTCTAAAGCTTGTTTTAAGGAATTACGACTCGAGCCGAAGCTTTTAAATCACGGGCTCAGGGCGCTTTGCACTCATCTTTTTTTTAAATGCTAGCTATAAATAAACCTTCCCTGGGATCATGTGAGGTCCCACAAAAAGTTTGGGCCCGATCGGTTTAGTCGTTTTGACCACTGTCGGTTGCAAAAAAACAAACAAACAAGACAGACAATCAAACAGCAAAGTATACATATATACATATATCTGCATTTTATGTTGGCTTTAAACAGTTTTTAATGATTCTTAACTTATTTATTCATAACTTGAGTGTATTCCAAAGGGGATTAAACGGGAAAAGAAAGGGGGAGGGGGGGGGGAGAGGTGTGCCCAGGGCCGGGGAAGTTGGCCCGGGGGGAAGTGGGCACGGGGTTGGTAGGGAAATTGAACGAACCACCTCCCTAGGAGATAATTTCGTACTTTTAGTAGTAGTTGAAAAAAATTTGAATGTTATCAATATTATATTTTTTTTAGATGTAGGATGGAAGAATTAGACGATTAGATGATTTGATTCTGCTCAAATCCTTTAGATTGAGTCTGCTCCAATCCCAAAGTTTAATCCAACCAACAGCAAGAGCTCTAATCTTAATAAAAAAGTGTCTGAAGCTTTACATTTACTTTTAACATGTGATACATTGTAATCTTTAAACCTGTCATAAATGCCAGGCGCAACTTGAGTTTTTAAGAAGGGGGGCAGGGGATCAAATCTCCCCCCCCCTTTTTTAGTTGTGACAGGTCAGACCAAGGTTGTATATCATACAACCTTTGGTCAGACGCAATTATTAAACACTAATATACCTTTTAAGTACATTTAACCAGTACAATTTTCTTCACAATGAATTTAATTTGAGGAATAAAATTATTACGTTCACAAAGTTCACCATAACACACATTTTACATTGTAAAATGTACACAAATTTATTATTTATGTAAATTTTACATTGTAAAATGTACACAAATTTCTGTTGAAAGATTGTAAAATAAAGCATAAAATTAGAGCATATTGCTTATGTAAAATGATAACCTTTTGAAAATGTAAATGTAAAATTTTCCCTAATTTTACATATTTAATGAATTCCGGCATCTAGCATACATTTTCTTAAGTTACAGGGTATGTTTTTTTTTTGCATCAAAAAATTTCTATATTTTTATATAATTTACAAAACTAATTTTTATTTTCATAGTTTACTTATAGAATTTATAGAATAGTATATTTTTCTTACTTTATTCACCTTAATTGTTGATTGTAACCAGCTTTAAATGAAATACATTATAATAAGTTAATATTTCTAGAAAGAGACAATTTTTCGCGAAGATTAAAAACTGATTTTCCCATCCCTTAATCTATGCAACCCGATGTAGACTATTGTTTTTTAACTATGAATTATTCTTAGATTAATTAGTTTAAAATATCAAAGGTTTACACCATCAGGTTGCAAAACTAGAAAATTTATAGTTGGAACAAAAATTTAGTTTCTTTGATATTCTACATGTTTTTTTGGGACTTCAGGGACAACTTGACATTATCCTAAAGTATTTTATTAATGTTTTGACGCACGCCACAATGGGAGGAGAGCCACTTGACAGGGTCTCCCGATAAACATGGAAATTTAAACTCTAAATCTGCGCTTACATTGTACATTCGTTTGTAGCATTCATGGCATTTCAAAATGTGGTTTTTGTCTAATTTTCATTGTTTAAATTTATTCAATTAAAAAAACACTCCAAAATTGTTTCAATTTCACATATGGAAAAATTAGTGGACCACATTTCGGAAAGCTCAAGGGGCGAACATTTTGTTTTACAAACATGGATAATCATTATTTTTTAAATTGTACGGCAAGAACCAGAAAACCATCGTATTTTCATTATTCCTTTTTCTTTTTGTAAAAGAATGCAATCAGCAATTAAACTATTACTAAAAAAGTGCCTTGGACCATTTTATTGATACAGAAGTTGCAACAATTGCAAATCTATGAAACCCCCCGCAAAACTTCTTCAGTGAAAGAAATAAAAAAATTCTGATTCTCATTGTTTTTTCTTATTCGAATAATTATTTTCAGGACATCATGTAGTTGCAAATTAGTTTTATCGAAGACAAGATAAGAATGTCCATGTGAGTGCAGATAGAATAAAGGGTGTTTAAAAAAGATACTTCATACTTTTTTCTCTCAGAGGCTTGATTTTTACCCGATCATTATGAAATTAATATCACAATGTCTCTTGGATGTCTGGACTAAGTGAACACAATTATCCGATTGACCAACTCTGCTCTGAATAAATGCTCTTTTTATATATTTTTTTAACACCTTAGAACTTGCAGAAAAGAGTATTCTTATATCGGATAAAAATTAAAAGATTTCATTAAAGATCATTTGTAAAATATAATCAAGAGCGCTTTGCATTCCTTTCTTTTAATATCTTTTAAAAACTATTTTCGGAATTACATGATTAGTGATTACAAAACAAAATAAATAAAATCCGGGCCATTATTTATTTATTTTACGTCAAATTTAGTGTTAAGATAAATATATTTGTATATCACAGGAAAAAATATAATCTTGAAGGATAAAATATATTCTTTAGTTCATCCTACACACTTACACAATAGTTCAATCTTAGTCACAATCATTTCAAAGATTAATAAAGTAGTCGCATTATTTTTCAAGGGTCGTAAAAGCTCTTATTGTGAATAAACAGAAACTCTGGAATAGGAAGACGACTTTTAAACTCAAGTTATGACTTTAAATAGTCCAACGAACATGAGACACAGCAATTGTGCAGTGTAAACAGGCCTATTTTACCTAATAAGTGATTTAATAACTTACTGGTATCACTATTTACTTTGTTAACACATCAAACACACTTTAGTATTGCTTAAATGTCGTCTTCATATTTCACAGTTTTTCTAGTTATCACTGTATCTAAATAATATTCACAATTTTCATCCTGCCTTTTTTATTTCACGCCATTTTGATCAAGCGGGACAAAACTAAAACATATTTTAATTTTGAAAGGGACTGGTGACCAAATTTGAATTATAGATTGATTGTTAAATAGCAAAACTGGAGGATTCTTATTTCGATCATACATAGATTTAAATCATTAAATGCTTTTGTTGGCAATATATTGGTTTTCAGTCAATATATGCCTTTATGTATTTAATAGTTTTGATTATGTTGTTACAAAATAATATTTTGCTGGCGCTGGATTTTCGAACATTCCTGGAAAGTATGAAAATGTCGTCTTCATCATCAAAAATCCTCGAAACAGGAATAAATGTTTCAAAAGTAACTCTCAAATAATGAAAAATAAAAAATATTATGAAATATCAACTACATACGAATGCCGCTGCGTCGAAAAATGATCGATGATTAATGGCTGTAATATCTAAATGATTTGTTTGGTATTACCGTAAGCCTAGCACAGTCAAAGTAAAAATTATTCTTACTTTCCAATTTTGCCATCAAATTCTTGATCAATCAAATTCATGATCAATCAGAATAAAAATCAATTAAAGGGATTATTCGCAAAGTTTGGATAATCGACGAGGTATGAAAAGTTTAATTGAGAGCCATTGCCAATAGACTGTTTTGCTTGCCAAAGACGTTTCAAATTAAAAAAGAAACACAAAAATCAAACCTAAGCATTAATTAGAATAAAAATGAATTTAAGTTTTTTGTTCTTTGTTCCAATTGTTCTTGCTGGTCCAGGTCTTGCTGTAGATGATAACCAGAGAAGTAAGTATTCTAAATTTTGGATTAATATTTCGCCAAAAACTCTAATTTTCAAGCCTGTTATCTTTTCAAACTCATGGCGGACAACTTTGATATTCACAGAGTTATAAACCTTATGAAACTGCAGTGGATGGTTTTTGCGAGTAAAAAATATATATCTTCTTCAANCCCCCCCCCCTCCTCATCATCCGTCTACACCTATTGTTCAAAATCCATTGTGCTACCTTTAGTTACCAGGAATTCTTTAAAAATTCAAGAAATTTATTAAAAATGCCCTTTTTAAGTATATTTTATAATTTTTAGTTGCAGAGTTAATCAATAAATTCAATTAAGTTTATATTCTTAATATTTATGTATTATCCAGCTGGCTCCGATTGTTGCAGAGTTAATCCATAAATTCAATTAACTTTATATTCTTAATATTTAGGTATTATTCAGCTGGCACTGATTGTTGCAGAGTTAATCAATAAATTCAATTAACTTTATATTCTTAATATTTAGGTATTATTCAGCTGGCACTGATGGTTGCAGAGTTAATCAATAAATTCAATTAACTTTATATTCTTAATATTTAGGTATTATTCAGCTGGCTCTTATGGTTGCAGAGTTAATCAATCAATCAATCAATTAACTTGATATTATTTAGCTGCCACTAATGGTTGCAGAGTCAATCGGTCAATTCATTTGATATTTGAATTCCTTATTATCCAGCCGGCTTTGATGGTTGCCGAGTCGATCAATGAATTACCTTGATATTTTCATTGCTAAGGTATTATCCAGCTGCGCTGATGGTTGCCAAGTCAATTAATTAATCAATGACCTTGATTTTTGAATTGTTAAGGTATTATCCAGCTGGCACTGGTGGTGCAGAGTTAATCAATCAATCAATCAGTGAGCTTGATATTTGAATTGTTTATATATTATTTAGCTGCCACTGACCCGTCAGGACATTTGGAGGAAAATGTACGCTAGATTCTGACGTGTGTATAAAGCTTAATCAACTACACTGATCATTGTTATTATGTGCAGTACGTGGAAAAGGGATATGAAAATAAACCAACATTTCGTGAGGGGGGGGGGGATTTTATTCATGGTCTATTTGGGTTATAAAAAAATTGTAACTTTTTCTTTACCTTAATCATACATGATAAAATGGTAAATGAAGACAACTTCTCATAAATATACAGTGCTTCCCAAAATAAATTAATAAGCATTGAAAACTTCTCTTAAATATACAGTGCTCCCCAAAATAAAATGGTAAGCATTTAAGACTTTTCAAAATTTTCATTGCTCCCCAAAATGATATGGAAAATGAAAACGACTTCTCATAAATATACAGTGCTCCTCAAAATAATGTGGTAAGCAAAGATGACTTCTCTTGAATATTCAGTGTTCTGAAAATTAGTATGGTAAATGAAGACGACATCTCAGAAATATACAGTGCTCCCAAAAATAATATGAAGTCGTCTTCATTTTCCATATCATTTTCCATAATATTTTGGAGAGCACTGAATACTTAAAGAGAAGTCGTCTATGCTTACCATCTTATTTTAAGGGGCACTGTATATTAATGAGAAGTTCTCTTCATTTACCATTTTATCATGTATGATTAAGGTAAAGAAAAATTTACAATTCTTTTTATAACCCAAATAGTCCATGAATAAAATCCCCCCCCCCCCCCCACGAAATGTTGGTTTATTTTCATATCCCTTTTCCACGTACTGCACCTAATAACAATGATCAGTGTAGTTGACTAAGCTAAATACACACGTCAGAATCTAGCGTACATTTTCCTCCAAATGTCCTGACGGGGCCACTGATGGTTGCAGACTCAATCGATCAATTCATTTGATATTTGAATTGTTTTTTATCCAAGCGGATTTGATGGTTGCAGAGTCAATCAATCAATGAATTTGATTTTTGAATTGTTCAGGTATTATCCAGCTGGTACTGGTGGTGCATCGAGTTAATCAATCAATCGATCAATTAACTTGATATTTGAATTGTCTACATATTATTTAGATGCCACTAATGGTTGCAGAGTCAATCAATCAATGAATTTGATTTTTGAATTGTTCAGGTATTATCCAGCTGGTACTGGTGGTGCATCGAGTTAATCAATCAATCGATCAATTAACTTGATATTTGAATTGTCTACATATTATTTAGATGCCACTAATGGTTGCAGAGTCAATCAATCAATTTATTTGATATGATTTGTTTTTTTTTATCCAACTGGCTTTGATGGTTGCAGAGTCGATCAATCAATTACCTTGATATTTCAATTGTTTAGGTATTATCCAGCTGACTTTGATGGTTGCTGAGTCGATCAATCAATTACCTTGATATTTCAATTGTTTAGGTATTATCCAGCTGGCGCTGATGGTTGCGGAGTCAATTGATTGTTCTTTCCCATACTTCCCAATACCCTACGGATGCTGGTCAGTTTTAGAAACAAACACAACTATATTCAAAAGACAACCTTCTGGGTAAATAAGGATCCAGAAAAATTGTATAGTTTGAATTGTCCTTTTTTTGTGGTTACAACTTTTTCGTGAAACAGTGTGCATAAATGATGATTAATTAATATGAAACATGGTTTAGTTTTTTTTTAACGATTATGAGGTTTTTGGACTTCTTAAAGGCACCAACATGAATACTGTGAACGTTCAACATTATAATATCTTAGAAGGAGCATCTGGACCCCAAACGGATAAATTTTCAGTGGTTGTTTTTCAATTTTCGTTTGAAAGTTTGCAGAAATAGAAGAATGTTCTTTTTAAAATATCAAAAATTCTTAATCACGGTGAGAACCAGAAAACTCTAAAATAGGAAGAAAACTTTCAGACTTAAGTTATGACTTTAAATATTCCTTTGAACACAAGATTGACACACAAATTGTTCAGTGTAAACAGACCCATTTAACTTTACAACTGACTTATTAAGTCACTATTAAAATTCTTTGCTTTGTAACAACATCAAGACTTAAGTATTACTATAATGTTGTCTTCTTATTCCACTGTTTTCTGGTTATCACTGTATACCCTCTAATGTAGGTGTGGTATAACTATCCCCTATCCTCCTGTACATGAAGAACCAGTGGATGAGTTTGATGCCACCTGCAAGGCAAGTTCTGTACATATGTGTTGGGTGTTTTCCCAAAGGCATTTTAACAAGGACAACTTCCCAAGTGATCCAAGCAGCAACTGCTCTACCTGCCCCAAAGTTGGGGCTGAACTCCGACAGAAAATGAGTAAATAATTATGAACTTTAGAAGATCAATGCCGAAGTCCCACTGTGAAGCTCTTAGAAATCATACCCTTCTTAAAATAACAATACCAACAAAACCAAACCAGCCCCACATCATAGCTTGGACGTAGAAGCTCAAAATATCAAGCATAGCAAATACTCCCAAAGGAAGCTTTGTCTTCATTATATTGATATAATTGCATCACCGTATCACAGAATGTATTTGAAAGATCTATTACAGTTTAAAGAAGAATAGTCTTATAATTTCACAAATATACTAATAATCTAAATGAATATGTAATATTTACCATAACTTGTAAAGGTACATGATCACTGTTATGATGATGCTGTAGAGTATGGTTGTGATTGGCTGGATGAGTATGTGTGGTCCTATGACTGGGATTTTGATGAGAACAATGTGGTGAGCTTTTCGTTATCAAGTTGAGACCAAAAAGATGAAAATTTACCAATGTGCACACTTAATTTAGTTTCTAAACTTGTAATGTTTTATGTCAAAACCTTATCTGAGAATAAAGAGAACCATGTTCCTTTCTACTTTTCAAAGTATGAACAAGTATTTAGCAATGAAGAATTCATGTAAATATTATTTCAATTTTTAACAACTTTTTTTTTGACATTTTTAGTCTTTTTATGAATTAGTATTTTGATATTGAAATCAAAAAATGTTTTGAACATGTGCTCACTGCCCAGAATGTTGCTCAGACCTAGACAGCTTTTTCCACTCTTGGCGGTTTAAATTTGAAAATTATTTTGAGTAATTTTTTTAATTATTATCTCTGACTGAAATAACACCAAAAATCACTTTTAAAACAAACACCTACATTTCGTACATGGAGTTAAGTGGCTAAACCTAAGAATTGTTTTAATCAAAAGTTTTCCCCTTAGATAACATGTAGTGAGGATCAAGATATTTGCCAGAAGATGATGTGCAATTGTGACAAAGCAGTGGCTGAAGCTTTAAAGTAAGTATTATCTTTTAATGATAGCTGTGAAAAAAGTTCATATATTAGGTACATATTTGGGTTTCCAATAAAAGGGGATTTAAATTGTGTAATTAAAAGCCCATTAATTTCGCGCATTTCAACGCAATTCTACGCCATTCACGCAATTTCACGCAATTCCCCACAACAAAATTCTGATGCTGAAAAAACTAAAGATATCTTTTCTGACATTGAATAAATAATTTAATCATTCCAATTTATTTTAAAAATATGTAGATATACAATAATTAATACACACACTTCTTAGAACAGAATTTTATAAAACATTTTGATAATTTCATTACATTATTTATTAATCAGGGAGACAGCAGCAGAATATGGCTGTCCAGCATCTGATCCTGGTTGTCCAGAAGAATTCATTTCAAAATAAAACATTTAAAATTGTTCCTATGTATATTATATATATATATGCTAACTAAAATATTGACTGTGATTGGCTAAAAATATAAAATCTCAAGTTTACTTTATAAAAATCAAATAAAGATTTGGTTATATGAACATAATTCACTGCTTCTGCGGAACAAACAAATGCTAGAACACTAAAAGTTACAAGTTGAACATTGCAAGCAGAGACTACGCTTGCACATGCGCCAAACACTAAAGTTAAATAAGGCACGCGGAGACTGCACTTGCGTCCAGCCCAAAATTCCTTTAACCTTGAAGAGCCTTCTTGCTGTGTGACAGAGACCAGCCAAGTAACTCCTGAAATGTGTAAAATTTTATTTTCTTACAGGAAAAAAAGGAAAGGTTGCTTTGAATCCTGGAGTTTCAAAAATATTTTAAATTTAAAAAATGTTTGCCCTATCATTGACTAAAGATGGTTCGCCCTTTACTATAAGCTTTCATGATTATTCTTGACATATCAATCTTTGAGAAGAGTGAATTGGTAACAACAAAGGAATTTGCTAATCCCATGTAATTCTTTGAAACATAATTGCGTACACTTAATTAAACATAATTCATAGTTTAAAATATTGAACTAGCCTACATGAATTGAGTAAAACTGTGAATTAAGTACACAAAACTATATTTACACTTAAATAAGCAAACTAATTTTTGCTTAATAAATAGAGTTGAGAGAGAACACTTCAGGGAATCCTCCGCCTAGATCGGCGGTAGTATTTAGATAAAACCATCTCCTGAGACCTTGTCGTGAATACTACTAACACCTCTTTGGGGTTCTAAAATGGCGGACCACTCCATTCCCCGCGTTAGGTAGTGCTGATCTTTTCCTCCTCTGCCAGACTGCAGGTTGACCCTCATCTCGGGTTTCTTATCTCAATCATTAAGGTTTCCAATGATTGGATTGGATTTTCTCTAAATCCCGCCAAGTAACAAACTAACTTCGGGTTGAACCAGGCCCCAAAACACAAAATTCAATGTTGTATTTACGCATTTATACATGAATCCAGAAATTACTTTCTGGCTTGATTTACAATATCTTAGGTCTATGACATTTTGTTAAAAGATAGGGATTAGGAAATGCTAAATAATATTTGACATGCAAAAATATATTTCTTGATGATACATTACCTTAAACTTGATTGATCCTGCTCCATCCAGATCAATATCATTGTAAACATCCTGATAAAATCAAATCAGGTACAATCCCAGAACAGAGATTAGAATAGAAGGGAAATAAGACTATTCCTCTGAATAAATATTTTTCAAAAAGGAGTTCAAAGTGTACAATACATGTAAATGTTCACAATTATACGCAGTACATCAGTAAACGCTGAACTGAACTCGGGAAGGTATAGTAAAGCGTATGTTGAAATGAATTTGGGAATGCATGACAGGTTGTCAGAGATTTCATTTAGAGAAACCAAGATAATTTTCAAGAACATTTTTCCTTATGAAAATATGTTCCAGGGCCCAAAAGGTTATGTAGAACAAATGTGTGAAGTTCACATGCAGTATAGAAACAGTACAACAAAATGGCGGTTTTACACTTTTTTCGACTTAATTCCACTCTATACTTTATAGATTAGGAATGCTGCTTTATACTTTTTTAAGAGGTCGACAATGATATGCATGAGAAATGAAACTTAATTTTAAGAATAATTATTTTTATTATTTGAAAATTAAGTGTATCCTTTCTGAGGGACCTTAAGCGATTGTTAAACAAAAATTTTACCAATTATCTGATCCAATTTTTTTGCCGTTTTATTTGTCGACCGGTTTAATGTTCAAATAATTAATATGTTCACCGTCATATTTTCAATAGGTCCTATCCACATCTCGAGCACTTCCCTACAAGGATAAATGTTAAAATTTGCCAAACACTCTTAGAACATTTTCATCCGAAATTATTTTGCTATTATGAATAGTCAATACTTTCAGGGTTTTCTTCAATCCGAATTGAAATACTTTTAACTTTTATTCTTTTTTCAAATGTGACTTAAATTAATATTCACAAAAGTACCATTCCATTTTTTTCTTTCCGATTAGTAATTTCTATCTGTAAATTCAAACACAAAATTAATAAAAAAAAACTGTTTCTTTCTACTCTTAAGTAAATAAACTAAAACCATTTAATATTAAATATGTTTTAGTTTGGCCACCATTGCTTTATTTGCATAATAAAATTTTTATTTCAAGCCAAGGACAAACTTTTATAAACCTTTATTCTAACATTTTTTTTAATAATTAGGCTATGAGGGTGCTTCGCACCCATCTATCATTTTAAGTTAAGTTAACTTGGACAATTTCTATCAGTGAGTGTTAAAAATGGGCCAAACCTGCAAAGTTATCTTTTTAAAGCATATATATCTTGAAATATATAATATATATTATATATGTTGAAATATATAATATTTATTTTATATCTTGAAATCCAAGCCGAGTTGAACAATCCCACACCATACATTTATTGAAAATGAGGAAAACAAATTATTGAAACAAGAAGTGTCCATTTTAAACTAATAATAAAGTGTGAGAATTTAGTTTTTGATGATACTTGATTTCATTTTCGAACATATCCATATTTTGAAACAAATACCGCATTTCAGCTTATGTTGCGTTTTTGAAACATATCCTGGTTTTGAGACAGTTAACTATTCGAATTCATATCTATGTTCGAAAATGGAAAACCTGACATTGCCTTGAAAACGGTCAAGGGTTTTATAATAAAAAGAACTCCTTTTATAATTTTGATTTCAGAAAGGAATTTAAAATTGGGAATTGTTGTCCTCGTCATTCTTAATAAAATGCTGGTAATAGTTTTTGCTATCAACTTTTACCCTCGATATAGGCTGGGATCCTAATAACCCAGTCTTTCAAATTGTGCCCATGTTCTAACACGAGTGTTAGAAATGGGCCAAGTGTTAGCTTTGGAACTAAAATCCCCTGTAATTGTTTCTCAATCTTTCAGCTTTTTTCTTCGATAAAACCATATTAACTTTTAAACTTTTTTTCGTGAATTTGAAAATTTTACGAAGATTGAAATATTTTTGAGACAACTGTTTGTAATTATGAGCATCCAGGGGTTTTGACAGGTCCCAAAAAAATATAGGTCCGATCTGTTTAGCCTTTTTGACTTTATTGGTTACAAACAAACAAACAAACAGACAGAAAAGCCAAGTGCTAAATATAGAAAAAAAAATTGAGGATAACATTGAAGGGAGAGTTAACGGAATATAAAAAAGCGCCTAAAATGGAAACATTTAAAGGGCCTGTAAGCCTAACAGCGACCCTTGAAAGCTTTGTCTAGTAAAATATAAATTATATGTATTGTTCATAATTTAAAAAAATGATTACTTCTGATTGTAGTTTCTTTTCAAAAGGTTTCAAGGGTAACGTTACGAATCTGGTATTGGCAACTTTGCATTAATGGTCCCTTAAATTTTCGCTTACAGTCCCTTTTATAGAGATTTAGTTCATGCCAAGAACTTGATTTCCATGCCTACCAGAAAAGTTGTACAGCGCAGATTTTTAATTAAAATAAAAAAGCAACATTTTTTTAAAAATTGTATACCAACCAGATAATAAACTGTACGACAATTTTATTTTGAAATTTTCCCAATAATATTGGGCTACGAATATGATAGGGTAATTGTTGCCATAGACTCCTAGAAAAGGACTCCTCTAATAGATTGAAGAATTGTTATTATGATTAAAAACTTACTGAAGTGGGGAAGATACCAAGGCAGCTTGATCAATTTTCTGTTCTCCTGAAGGAGTGCTCAATCCAAGTACCTAGAAACATAATTGTTTTTTAAAGGGGGTTCAAATCTCAAAGTCTAATGATTCCAAAAATAGCCTTATTGAATTTTTAAGTGACCCATTCTTTTAAAAGAGGCGCATCGCTAATTTCATTAAAGATATCCAAAGGGTGTCCCACGAAACATGAAAGTTGGTGAATAATTTTGAAAATCTACTTCCAAATACTGTATTAGACATTACAGTCTTACTGAAGTTCATTTCTTTAAAAAATCTTTTTCCCAAATATATTTTTGAAATCAATTTAAGTATAACTGTTATTTTGACTTTGATTATTTATTTCAATTAAATTTTACAATATTTTAGTTTGTACATCTTTCAATCATATTCGGCTAATTTTAAAAATAACACGAAAAGAATTTTTTTTGGATGTCCTTGTAGTTCGCCACTTAACAAGAAAGAACTATTTTTAAAGGGTCTGTGTTTAATTGAACTGTCTTAGATATTGCTTTCTTTCTCGGAACTCTATATACAATTGTTTTCTCTTGAATTGCATCTGACAAAGAAAATTCACAATTTCCATGATATTTTCTTGTAGGAGGGGAGGGAGGNGGGAAGGGAGAGCAATCGTCTCACCCCCTCCCCCTCCCCGGTGGGGGGGAATGTCTGCCAAACCCCCATCTCTAATATCAAGAGATTTCCCTTCCAATTGACTGCAATCTCATCCTGTGTGGTTCTCCCTGTATTACCTGACATATCTGGAAAGCTTGCTTGACTCCAATTAGAAATGTTCTAAATTCCTCGAAGAGAAGTTGAGACCTGTCAGCCTTAAACATAATAGAATCATGAACTATCTTAAAATATATGTAGATATGGATGTTAGGTACTTTCCCACATTCATTTTATCAAGCGACAATTCTTCCCAATGATAATTTCCCAAGTTGCAACTTCCCAAATGAACAATTTCCAAAGAGAATACTTCCTAAGTCTGCCCTAGCCGCAGCGCTCTGCCCCATTGCAGCCATGTGGCGCCTCAGAAAGCCTAACCAAACCTTAGGTAAGTTGCTACTTGGGAAATTGAAACTTGGGAAAATGCCTTGAAGAAATTACCGAACCCCTAGTTATGAAATATAACATATACAATCGTGGAAAATGAAGATGACTGTAAGACTCAGAGCTTGATAAACACGAAACAGAACGTTTTCCTCCTGACTTTGGTTTCTTGGTTTAGCGACTGCGTTTTACGTCTTTTTGTTAGATCTTCATTATTTGGATAAAGTGTCTCGAGGGTATATTTTTAAAGATTTTTGTTGATTTTTATCTATTCTTAAGCACGAAATTAATAAAAAAAACTTAAGAAGCACCCTGTAATAAGACCCATATGATCCACATAATGGGTTGTTTTTGTAGGTAAAACTAATTTTAAACAACTGCTTAAAATAATTATTAATAAATTATTAAAAAAATAATATTTAAGATTTATTATCTTACCTCTGGTTCAGTTTAAAAGAAAAAGATGAATTTTCGAATTATAAAATGTGAATTCAACTTTAAACATTAAAATTTAATACATTTTGGAATGTTAATACCACCGCATGGATGGTGTCAAAAAAAGTTTAATGATACGAAAAAATAGTAAATACAAAAAATTTTAAAAAATCTTTTTCTTTCCTTTTTTAGCAAAATAAAATGCTTGAACCACTGTAGTGTTCATATTACTCATATCAGTTTTGCAAATCTAAATAAAAGGTTTTAATATTTAATTATGGTAAAATACAATATAAAAACCTTTCAGAGCAATCTAGATTACTTGTCAATTTATTCTTTGCACATATATAATGTATTAATCTATCTTTGTTTGTGCGATCATAGCTCATGAACCCTTGGACCGATTTTCCTCAAATTTTGGTCAAGGAATTTTGTAAAACCACGAAAATATTCTAAGTTTTGTTAAATTTACCAAATTCTAAACTGATTGGATTGGATTTTATGTAATAAAGCCTAGTTTCCAGGCAAAGCAGGGTTTCCAAGCTGGTCAGTCTTTAAATGATCAGATTAGGGGGGTGTTGTGTCACCTTCCGTAACCCCTCATCCATTTGCCCAATTGTTGCCCCTTCCTCCTCCTCTGCCTCCTCCTCTCCTTCCTCCTCAACTATCTTCTTCCAAAGTTCCCTGCAACGTAATTGATTCACTGAATTTTAGTAACAATTGAAAATAAAACCAACTGTATTTAGCCATGTTACCCCCAGGGTACTCAATACCCATGGGTTCCCTTAAACATTTCAGCCCATTCAGTCCAGCCGTTTGGTCAGCTATAGCAGACATCTATTTGCATAGTTATATGTACATAAGTATTTCTTTTGTTTTGTTTTAAGAATTTACAAATTTTTGTATCAAACTATGATTTCTGTTAGATAAAATTATCTAAGTTTGAAATATCTAAGGTGTACACCCTCAGGTTGCAAAGATATAAGGAATTGGAAAATTTTAGTTTGTGGCAATGTCTCAATTTCTTTGAAGGAATCTGAATTCCGGTTTTTATTTATCTACCTGCGATTTTTCTCGTCCTCCTCACTTTGAAAAAAAATTAAAGTTTAAAATTATTTTAGAAGAAACTATCAATTACATGCCTCAAAATCTATAGTTTTCTCACAAGCAGCCGTATAGTACATTTGAATTTCCAAGTCGGGTCAACCTTTCCGGTCCCAGTTTGTACTGTACTGCACGGACATTGGAGTAATAAAGCAGACAATCAACAGGACTAGCCGTTGCAACATGGTTGACGCGGTCAGACATTATGCTTCATTTATTTTGAATTTACTTTTACTAAAGGGACAGAGGTATGTGTTCTTTAGAGACCTTCGTTATTAAACTATAGAATTCTGGCATTTCCCATTTTATGTTGTGCACACATGCCCTGTAAAACTCCAAAACAGAGAAAGGGGGATTGAATTTTGTAGATCCAGAAAAATAATTAAATTAGTATTTATATAGGGTTAGGTTAGGTGAAGACACTTTTGTTAACCATTAATTTCAAAACCTCTATAAAATGTCGTCTTATACTGGAATCTCCTGTCGGAGACAGCCAAACCAAATTTTCAGCCCGCAAATTCCATTGTCCTCCTCCGACGGAGCTTAAAATATTTTGTTGTTGTGAAATCATTAAAGTTAAGCAAAATATTTTCATAAGAAGCATAAGTGAATTTCGTTAAATATTCAACTGTAATTTTTCAGAAGTTAAAAAAACGTATATCAATACTGATCAACAAATAAGTCACCCCTTCTATACTTAAATAATTCGTAAGATTTTTTCTACTATTAACATTCATTATAACATTGTACAATTAAACATGACCTATAATTTATGTTATTTTTTAGGAAATAAAGATTTTGTTATCGAATTTCTGTGACGGGGTTACTCTGTTGTGTGTGTATTGTTCGGCCATCGGGAAAGAATCGTCTGGGGATAATAAACACCCCCCTTCAGAATCCTAACCGGCCTATTATCCGGATTTGTCTAGCGTGTTGCTGTTATCTGTCAACAACTTTCTAGGCCGAGCGCTGCGGCTAGGAAAGGCTAGGGGGCCGAGCGCTGCGGCAACATGTCTTACATTTAAGACCCCACCAGCTGCCAGTCTCTAAGCAGGCATCCCACAGACATTATTTTTCTGGATCTGCAAAATTTAATCCCCCACTCTCTGTTTCGGAATTTTACCGGGCATATGCGCACAACATAAAATGGCAAATGCCTAGAATTCTGCTAGTTAAAATTGACTACGTACGTTGGTAATCTCAATAATTCAAAACATCAGGGATCACATTTAATAAATTAGACTTCGGTTGAACCCTGAAAACGTAGAATTCAATAATTAAATTTCAGCTTGAACAGGTGCACAAGAGAAGGTTTTCAACGCCAGCGTGGATCAGCGAATTCTCGTACTTTATTAATTCTGGTCCCAGGACGCAAATATATTGTCATTCAAAACAAATTGATCCGAGTTTGCAGTTCCTTACTGTACAGGGTGTCCCAATAAACACTTTCAGGAACCCACATTTGAACTTCTGGAGAAATTTGTTAATCCTTCTAGGGTTGGTCAAAATAAAATATAATTTAATTTTGGAAAATTTTTAAAATCTTTAAATTCCCTGGTGGTAGTTGGAATCAAATCCAAAACTGTCTTCCAGTCGATTTCCGTGTCCTCCTCCTTCTCCTTCTCCTCTTCTTCTTCTTCTTCCTCTTTTTCTTCTTCTTCTTCCTCTTCTTTCTTATCACATGTATTTTCTTCTACAAATAAATCTTGATAAAAGTTGTTTTATTAAACAGTAAGAGCCTTGAAACTATGACATATGAAGACGACATTTAATCAATCTTAAGTGATGTAATTTTATGCTTTTCAATAATAGTTTCACTAGTAGATTTTAAATCAACTTACAAAAGTAAATTGGGTCTGTGTGCACTGCACAATTTTTGATTTTTTTTAATTACAAGCATTTCAACAGTCATTTCCCTTTTTCACAGTTTTTTGGGTCTCACTGTATGATTTTTTAACTAATATTTAAGCACACATAATGAAACTGTAGAGACAAGTATAATGTAATTTGTATAATTGCATGTTTCTTACCCAAATTATAGATCCAAATAAAAGAGAGCGTGAAGGAAATGGGGGGGGGCGAGGGGGAGCTTAAAAAGCAGTGTCAGAGGATAAATTGTGAAGGAAAAGGGGTAGCTAAATCTCAATCTTGGTTTGTATAAAAAAGTGAAAAATAGTGAAAACAAATACGACATTATAATTTTAAGCGACTGTGAGCGTCAAATTGAGTTTTGATAAAATGTCGTCTTCCTGTTCATTAGTTTTCTGTACTGTACTTTTGGTGTTCGACATTGCGAACCAAATCTTATGTGTTTTTTTCTCTATAAATGTGAAATCATTAATTATGGAATACTCCTGAAAAATTACATAATTACCCTTTTCAGTTGGTTCGTTGAGCCTACAATACATCTCAACGTCATCCTGAATAATAATTGTTTTTGTTTTATTTTATTCTCTTGCTTCGAAAATTCCAGAATTCAGTATATATCATCCCTGGGACCGAATTTAATAAAGTTGAGCTGCGCGCCTATTAAATAAAATTTGATACACCGATTTAAACCATTCCTTAATATTTAACGATGACCGGTAGTTTAGCGATGTTGCTCCAAATTATTTAAATTCGGTCCCAGATCGAGATTATATATTGCAAAATTCAACGACGACATTCTTTTCAGTTTTCTGTTTCTTACTGTAAATGTTAAATTTGTCCCATGGGTAATTAACCCTATAAAGGCTGGGGGTCTGAATCTATGTATAGCCGGGGGGGGGGGCGTTCGGCGCCCCCCTAGAAAAAGGCCTTAGAGAAAAGGTATAGGGTTGAAATGCATGTTCATAGCCCAATTTTTCATGGCCAGCTCGAAGAAAAAAAATTAGTCCGATAACTTTAATAGTTTGGGTGCTAGGGAGGGTGGGAAAAAAATGCCTAAAAAGGGTAAAAAAAGGAAAAAAATACATTTTTTGTTTTAAACAAATATCAAAGTGTGACACATGTTTCTACATGCATTTTTCGAAAACATAGTTTCTAGATCTGTAGCTTTAGATAGTGTCAAAAATGAGAGTGCTAGGACAAAAAAACAACTAAAGGGGGGGGGGTGCCAAACGCCCCTCCCCCCAGACTGTTTAGGGTGAACTAATATAGGTTTTCGAGTTTGCGAATTTCAGCGTTAAATCTTGCAATTAATCCAATACAGGGTGTCCCAATAAACATGTAAATTCAGTGACAAATTGGATATCGTCTTCGTTATGAATTAGCATTAATTAATACCTGATTTCAAAAGCCATAATATTATTATGTCTGCTAAAGTTTATTTATGAAAACGGTAAATGGCTGTAAAGATGTGTCTATAATGTCTCCGCAAGATGAACACTGAAGACAGAAAAGTTTTCTCTGTTTGTATACTGTAATTTTCTTGTTTTACTAAATACAACCGTATGCAGTCAAAACATAAAAAAAACAAAATGTGAATATAGCAGACGAAAATCATATGGATCACAGCTTTCTCAGTAGGTATCACTTTACTAAATCTAAGATATATTTAAAAAGACGATATCAAATTCGTCACTGAATTCCCATGTTTATTGGGACGTACCCTGTATGATATGTCATGCACTATAGAAGTTCGTCTGAGGCCGGGGGGGGGGGGCATAGATAACCACTAAAAATGAAGGCTCATGGGCACAGGTAACTGCACAAATGAAGGCTTGTATTCACGGTGCAACCTTACTAACTAAAGATTAATGGTCGACCTGGTATGTACGAGACGTTCTCTAAACTTTTACAGTTTAAAATTTTATCATGGTTGATTAATTAATCCAACCTTTTATTACTAAAACTGAAAACATGAAACCAATCTTTCATCACTGAACCATAATCCCACCTAATTTTCATCCCTTAACCATAAACCCAACCTGATTTTCATCCCTGAACCATAATCAAACCTGATTTTCATCCATGAACCATAAACCAACCTGATTTTCATCCCTGAACCATAAACCCAACCTGATTTTCATCCATGAACCATAAACCAAACCTGATTTTCATCCATGAACCATAAACCCAACATGATTTTCATCCATGAACCATAATCCTACCTGATTTTCATCCATGAACCATAAACCAAACCTGATTTTCATCCATGAACCATGAACCCACCTGATTTTCATCCCTGAACCATAAACCCAACCTGATTTTCATCCCTGAACGATAAACCCAACCTGATTTTCATCTGTGAACCATACACCCAACCTGATTTTCATTCATGAACCATAAACCCAACCTGATTTTCATCCCTGAACCATAAACCCAACCTGATTTTCATTCATGAACCATAAACCCAACCTGATTTTCATTCCCGAACCATAAATCATCAGAATTATGAATCCTATTCTTTGCAACAAAGTATGCTGCAACATCTAGCATACTCCGGGACATCTTCATCTTCTCAATCTTCACTTTTTTCTTCACATCCATCTTCAGAGAATCTTCTATCTTTAAAGGGAGTGTTCACCATTTTAAAAACATACATTACGCCAAATTTGAGAATAATGAGAAAGTTATTTTTTTTCGGAATCTTTATATTTGTCCAAATTCTCATAACTCTTCCATGAGAGGATATCTGATCGAAAACTTGTGATATTTAAATTAGACGTGCTGTTTACTTTAGTTTGATGAGGCTTAGAGGTGTGAGATGCAAGTGGTAATAAAGGGGAAATAGTAATAACCGGAAAACGCTGAAATAGGAAGACGACTTTTAAAGTCAAGTTCGGACTTTGTAACAACATCAAAACGCTTAAGTAATGCTATAATGTCGTCTTTCTATTCCATTGTTTTCTGGATACTGTATATCATGGAATTTTGATAGAATAATTTATATTATTCGTTAATGAACAAACTTTTGAAATTTTTTTTTGTAAAATCGGCCGCTGAAGTAACTTAACAAATTAACAAATATGTATACGCATTACTTTAATTGCAAAACATGCAAATTTTTTGTTGATGATTTTTTCCACGCTAGTTTTCTTATGTTCTTTGAAAGTACTGTCGGTATGTTTATTAAAATTTTAAAATCTTTTTCAAAATAATTAATAGGAATAAGCTCTGCTAAAAGTACACATACAACCGTGGTTTAAAATGCCATGTTAAAAAATATCCTTAAAACATTCAATACAATTATAAAACAGTGGAATTATCTTTTTTCTTTGAAGTTTGCAATCTCGGGGGGGGGGGAGGGGGGGCATTTGGACTTTGAGAATTCCAAAGTATTTTTACGAGTCGAGTAACAAACAAAGGGAATAATTTGTACAGTTTTGTATTTTAATGAAAACTTTAAAAATTGATTGAAAAATATTCATTTATATAATAAATGTTTGTTATTAATAAAGATTTCTAAAAAGGGCTGAGAACATATTAAGAGATGTATATAGTAGCAACAATTGTAAATTATAAAATATTATCTATTTTTCTAGTTCTCACTGTAAATTTTATTTTTTTATATGTTTGCATTAAAAAGAATACTTATACACTGGACCAGGATTGGTTGAATTATGAGTTCATTATTCATGAATTGAGATCAATTCAAGTTTTACAAAATGAATATTAATTCTTTTTTACCCTGCAATAAAATAATTTACAAATTAATTTGTCTCATTTATAAAAACCTTTTTAAATAGTTGTAATAAAAATCATTAAAAGAAACATTGTAGTTTATAAACAGAACTTTATAAACGTTAGATTTATTTGTATAGTTAGGTATTATTCACGTAACATAGAGTCAAAGCTTTCCTTTTCAATGTTCAAGTACATACATAACAATATAAATTATTAACATAGTATAACAGGGCAACATAAAATATCAACATAAGAGAACATAACAACATAAACTAATAACATAATAGAACTTATCAACATAAAATTATCTATATAATATAATATAACAACATAAAATTATCAACATAATATATAACACAACATAAAATTTTCAATTTAATATAACATAACAACATAAAATTATAAACATGATATGACATAACTGTAGTAAACGCCCTACTCCATAAACTGACCTCGAATCCAGGTACAATTCAGTTTCGCTTAGCAATCATTATAATACCCGGATACAATCCCGTGAACTATAAATGCCAAACTATTGGGCGCGATCTCGTCAGCTATCTATGCCAACTGGACACTAGCTCGTATTTTATCAACGCCAAACCAATGGGCGTGATCTGAACTCATATTGTTTCAACAAGAACCGATTACTCTCTCGCTGTAATCAATTCGGAGTCTATATAACAACTAATTTATTTTAGATAATAATATTTACAAGTTAAAGTTAATCAACGTTCTACGTCAATATATGTACAGCATAATTTAAGTTCAATGTATTTGTAAGATTAGCGTGGATAGATATAACATAGTTAATCTATCACAATATGCACTGTCACAGAGTTGATTTGTAATATTTAATTTGGTTCTACAGCATCCTTATATAGTTTGTCTATGGAAATAAGGAAAGCAGAATTTTTCTTTGGGAAACAGATCATTATAAGTTTGTTTTATGAAAATATGTTAATTTTTTGAAAATTAATGCCAACAAGTAAATATGGATCTTTTTAGGTCTGGCATTGTTTTTCTGTTTAGACCCTTTTTGTTTGTTTCGTGCTATCAACATGAAAAAGTTCTTGGTTCAGATCTAGATGTAGATTCAGAAAGTGTCGCTTTTTTGAATAAATTAAACCTTTCTGTTTGTCACTTGGTTTTACTGTACACTGTTCGTTCTGTTCACAATATTGTATTGCACATTGTCACAGATTAGTTTTTCTTTAATCTTTACCAGTGAAACTGAAATAGTGAAAATAATTTCATGTTTATAAACATTTCCTGTTAAAAGAACAAGAAGACAGGGAATTTGAGCACTTACGGCGCTTGACAAATTTTTAAACCTGGATTTTTGTTTTAATGGTGAAAATTTGAGGTAACAAAGTTGGCAATAAACTGAGCACATGTCTTGAGCAACATGCACTTAGAATAAAACTTGCATCTAGGATGATTAACTTTGTTCTTTTCTTAAACTTTTAAAAACTTCCCAAAATTTAAAACTTAGGAATATTTTTTAATATTTATTGTTATCTATTCTTCTTCAATGAAGCCTCATAGGGGAATAATTAGACGTAAAATAAGTAAAGCAAATGTTCAGTAAAAACAATTTTGGAAATTGTAAAACCTCGAATTTTTGTGGAAGTTTTATGCCGTTAATACTACAAAAAACATTAACGATTTCAAAAACTGTTGCTACTGTAATAAATCGTTAACGAATGTTTACGTCCTTAATAATGTATTATACCATTAACAGCTGGAGCCGTTAACGGTTTTTGGATTTTTTCCGCTAATCTAATTTGTTAAGTAACAGTAATTTTAAAAAAACCGTTAACGGAATGAACGTTCTGTTTTTACCTTTAAAATTAACGGCTAACTAAAAATTTTATTTTTTAATAGTTGGAACTAACCGGTAACGAAACGGCTAGAAAAAGTTGGAACAAGGCCAGCCTTTATAGTCACTTATACCTGTCCCAAAATAACTTGAAAGAAGAAAGATGAGAAAAAAAGAGAAAAAGTGCCATGTTTCCGTAGATTATTATAACAGAAAATACCATAGATAAATAAATAAACATAGATAGCTTATGTACGCAAAATCACCAAGAATAGTAAAGTCTGCGAACTCATACTTCAAGGGGTCAAAGTGTACTTCAATAATAAGCGGGGTGGTTTGGTGTTTTAATGGATTTCATAATAGAGTGTAAAATAACTCCGGGAATGGAACTATTTGAACAGCAATATTTCACTGAGCAAAATATCATATTGACGAGAACTGAAGAAGGACATGAGAAGGACTAAACTAACTTAAATTTCTCTCTACAGAACTCATGTATACACCACAAGTACTCAATGGCATAAGAACAGCCAATGTTCACAACCGACCTAGTTAATCTATATAATAAAAAATGTCGTCTTATGTGCAATCTATCTTTATCTATGGAAAATACTTGTAATAAAAATCAGTCCATCCTGTAAGTAAAACTAAAGGAAGAACTACGAAGAAAATATTTTGAAATGGAAGGTAAGCCACTATAGTTTCAGTAGAAGTAAATATTTCCATTTACTGATAGCACCAGTTGAAGGATCCATAACTCTGATTAGATAATGAGATAGATAGAAAGATAAATGTTACTGCCATACTATTTCTATTGGTATAGAATAGACAACAATCACATGACTAAACCCTGATTGGATCAGACGCTAATGGACTTGGCATACAGGAGTGAAACATAGCCTTTATAGATTAATCTGGTCGAGTTTTGTAAAGTAAGAAATGCTGAAAGTTACACCGCTATATGCATTTCTGAGAATTAACATGTATTTTACTTATTACGGAATGGTTCCGAATTAAGTAATTTCGCGTAATTATGCGAAACTAGAATTTCTTTCTTAAACGTAATTAACACGTAATTTCGCGTAATGCTAGTGCTAGTGCGTAATTGAAAGAAATCGTTAACGTAATTTTGAGTAATTGCGCGTAAGTAAAAGAAATCGTTACGCATAATTATGCGTAATTGCGCGTAACGTAATTACGACTGGAAACCATACGGTCATCATCAGGTTGCAACGATATAGGGATTTAAAAATTTGAGTTTATGGCCAGAACTTAATTTCTTTTTTAATTTTGAGAATTTTTAATATGCATTTATCTCGACAAATTGTGAAAATTCCTTTAATTAAACTGTAAGATAAATATTAAAGATAATAACCTAATCCCAATGTTTATCCAACCTCCTCTTTTATCCCTCGTAAAATAACAATGAGTAGAAAAACAAACAAGAACCTGTCACGTGACCGCGACAGAAATTAAGATGAAAGAAGATGTTTCCGACAGAAGCTACAACAGTCAATGTTTTCAAGTTTTTTTTTTGCATCTATGTAATAATTTGCTTGTCTGTTTGTTTTTTTTTCAACATACGTAAACTTTCAGTTGTCAGATTTGCAAAGAAATTTTTGCAAATTATTTGCAAACAACTCGTCAAAGGAAATTTGCACATCTTTAGTTTTTCTTAATTAAAAATCAGGTTATTGAAAATTTTGCAACATTTTTTGCATATTTGAAAGAGCATGGTGAAGTGCTTTTAAAAAATGTATTTTTAATAAAATTTTGGACAATTTATTTTTCAAAAATATTTTACTATATAACTAGATTTTGCAAAATAGAAGAGTAGAGATAGGGTTAAAATCCTAGTTTTCTTTAATTCACAAAGTAAATATGGACTTTTTTATTTTCACTGAAAAATAATAGAAGAATAAATAAAACTAAAAAAATTGTTTAATCATGAAATTTTTTTAAAAACTAAGAAGGTCACTAGAAGTGACCTCGCTTGTCAGAGTTAAAAAGAGTTTAAAGATATCTGATAAAAAAGCTCAGACTGTATATTTTAAGGAATATTTCGATACAATTTTAATAATTTGAATATGCGTTATCCTTTACGCATAATTTTACTTATATAAAATATAGACAATGAAATAGCATAATTTCATGCACATATCTTCAATTTACAATCCAAGGTTAAAGATACTGTAGACAAAATTTTAAATAATTAAAGAATAGATTTGTGCAAGTCTTATTCACTTGCCAGTGTGCAATCCAAGATTTTTTTTCAGTTAAAAATTTTCAATTTTAATTTAAGGATTTTTTGTAGGAATTTATGCTTAATATAAATAAGGAAAATAAACAGAATTAAACACTTTTCCAGATGGAAAAATTGCGAGTTTTTTAAAGGGAAACTACTATATACAATTTTATAAATGTATGGTCACTTGAATTAATGTGAACAGTCCCTTTAATTATTTAGAAAAGATAACTTTAGTGAGTTGTCCAGTATCTACAGTATCTCTGAAGGATGGAGAAGGGAGGCTTTTATGAATTAGAATACAGGGAGCATGTAAGTCAAAGAAAATAGAATATATATTAGAGTGGAATTTATTAGAAAAAAAGTGTAAAACGGCCATTTTGTTGTACTGTTTCCATACTGTTTCCATGTAAGTACACCGTACACGAGACATCTCAGTAGAACTCTTTGTCGTTTTTGTTCAACGCGGCATTTTCCCGTGATCTCAATTTTAGTAAGAACAAGAAAACTTTAGAATATGAAGACGACAGAGAAACAATAAACAAGTGTAGTTAATGTAACAAACCAATAGTAACTATTAAATGATTTTTTTCAGTTAAAAGGAATTGAGTGTTTGCTACAAATTTTCTAATCTCGATATCTTTACAACACAATGTCGTAGACCTTAGACATTTAAAATTATAAATTTTTTTGGATCACATAATCTAAGTTTAAAATCTCAGAAGATTACATCATCAGGTTTCAAAGATATACGGATCAGAACATTTTGAGTTTGTGGCAATGACTTAATTACTTTGAATAAATTTTTTTCCAGTTTTTAGTTCTGTTTATTAGTCGTGCACACTTTTTTTTAAAAATTGTTCTTAGATATTATTCTATGATCAAACACGACGTTAATGTGGTCTCTAGTCTGTAGCTATGAAACTGTATGAAAATACAGGGTGTACCACGATTACAAAACATGACAGTTGATGAACAGTTTTAAATGTCTTCTTCAATATGCTGTATTAGATATTAAGGACTCTTTGCAGTTTATTTTGTTAAACAAATCTTTAACTTTGAAATCAATTTTATCATAACAGGATAATAATAATAATAAAACTCCCATATAATATTTTATGTTATTCTTTTTGGTATCAATCAACTTAACAAATTATGGAAGACGACATTTTAAACTATTCACCAACTGTCATGTTTAGTGGGACACCCTGTATAAAATAACATTCATAACAAGATGTTTGATTTTGAAGCAATATTGATTAGGGGTTGAGAATTGTAATTAGAGAAATATTGTTTAGGGATTGAGAATTGCAATTACAGAAATATTGTTTAGGGATTGAGAATTGCAATTATAGAAATATTGTTTAGGGATTGAGAATTGCAATTACAGAAATATTGTTTAGGGATTGAGAATTGCAATTATAGAAATATTGATTAGGGGTTGAGAATTGCAATTACAGAAATATTGTTTAGGGATTGAGAATTGCAATTATAGAAATATTGTTTAGGGATCGAGAATTGCAATTATAGAAATATTGATTAGGTATCGAGAATTGCAATTATAGAAATATTGTTTAGGGATCGAGAATTGCAATTACAGAAATATTGTTTAGGGATCGAAAATTGCAATTATAGAAATATTGTTTAGGGGTTGAGAATGGCAACTATAGAAATATTGTTTCGAGATCGAGAATTGCGATTACAGAAATATTGAATAGGGATTGAGAATGACAATTATAGAAATATTGTTTAGGGATCGAGAATTGCAATCGTAGCAATATTGATTAGGGATTGTGAATTGCAATTACAAATATATTGATTAGTTATTGTATACGCAGTAATTGTATTTTTTGACAAATATTTCTTATCAAATGAAGTACCGTCTGCAAAGCATTGTATAATCATATGGTAGGGCGAACCCTTCTATTCCTTACTCCCTGATTGGGATTCAAAATAATAATAATAATATACTTTAGGGATTGGGGATTGCAATTACAGCCATATTTCTGGCTGGTGAGATGGCTGGGACTGGGGTACTCTCACTTCCACATGCACTAAAGGTAAATTCACATTAAAAAAATACTTAACATACGGAAATTCTTAACATTGGGATTTCCAAACTGTGGGTTGTCCTTTTTGTAGTTAACGGAGAATTTATGAAACTTGTACAAAAAACATTTTTGAAATATCTTAAGTCTCCGTAAATTATGAAGATAAAAAGAACAAATCCTCATTTCTAAAAGCTCGTCAGAATTACGACCATAGTATTGGAAAATTCCGTTGCACGGAATAGGGCGGAATCGTGTGGAATTGTGCGGAATTAAAGGGCTTGCAATTGTGCGCGAGTAAAATCCACTTGCGTTGGAAACCTTAATTTGGACAAGCCTGTATCTGAGACATGGCGCGCACACAAACAAAATACTCTCTTCATGCATTAACTGTGTTTACAAAATGCCTAATTCAAGTATTTAATTTAAAGACCACATTTAGGATACAAGTTTTTACGGGTTGATGCTGATCACCTTGTTTACCGTCAACACTATGTATGTTGGATCCAGACTAGGTCTCTGTTGGGTTATGATGGAGGAACGATATGAAAAATTTAGAGGACAGGTTATTATCTTGTTTAGAGGACATGTTAGTATCTTGTTTAGAGGACAGGTTTAGATAAACAGGTTTAGAGAACAGGTTTAGAGGACAGGTTAGTATCTTGTTTTGAGGACAGGGTTAGGTTAGTATCTTGTTTAGAGGACAGGTTTAGAGGACAGGTTAGTATCTTGTTTAGAGGACAGGTTAGTATCTTGTTTTGAGGACAGGGTTAGGTTAGTATCTTGTTTAGAGGACAGGTTTAGAGGACAGGTTAGTATCTTGTTTAGAGGACAGGTTTTAGAGGACAGGTAAGTATCTTGTTTAGAGGACAGGTTTATAGGACAGGTTTAGAGGACAGGTTTAGAAGACAGTTTTAGAGGACAGGTTATTATCTTGTTTATTAGAGGACAGGTTATTATCTTGTTTTTCTTGTATTATTTTTTTGTGCACAAGAAATTTTAAAATACAATGGTCGACGATTATATGAATACAATGAAGACGACTTCCTAACAAGCATTTTTCTAATTACAAGTTGACAAGTAAATAAAGAGAAGGTGTTAAGTGACAACTTCTCTTTGTTTAAATGTTTCAGTGTTTACACTAGGGTTTCCACAAAATTACCATATTTTTTTACGCAAATTTGCGCAAAGCCAAAAGTATTGCTTAAAAGGTTTATTCTAAAACTGACATACAACCTAAATCATGATTATGCTACTCTGAGCCCGCGATTTAAAAGCTTCGGCTCGGGTCGCAATTCCTTGAACTCAGCTTTAAGACCCGATCTTAGACTCAACTCTGACTCCAGCTTGTGTCACGTGATTGACAGCTGCGAGATCTTAGGTTCGACTTAAGGAGTTAGAAAATAAAACCTAGGTTGGTTTAAATGGAGAATAAGGCTTAATGTTGAGTCTTATTTTCTTAAAAACCTGGAATGCGCCAATTCATACCATGGAAATCCACCAAATAGAATATTAAACCGGTTTTATGAACTCACTACTGTTTCTATAGCTGAAGTTTTAAAGGAGTAGTTGGCAAAATATTGCTCGATTTTTGTGTGAGAGCGTGTGTAGTGTGTACCTGTACATCTTGATTTGCAGTGTGCCATTATGCTTCAGGTTGCAAAGTAGTGTTTTGGGTAAGAAGTCAGTTCCCTTTTCAGCTTTGTAATTATATGCCACAATTTCAATCTTATAGATAACTAATTTATACAGTTTACACCTTTGATCAACCTTTTAAAGAGATTTTGTTCCACAGTGCAAATTAGAATAACGCAAAAGCGAAATAGCGGAATTTTGCGCAAAATGAAGTTTTCGAATGAATGCTCAAAGTGCTATTTTTTTCGCGCAAAACTGTGGCAAAAATTTGCGCTTTTTTTCGCAAAAGTTTTGCGTATGGAAACCCTAGCTTCTATTGTTTAAATGCTTGGTATACTTTTTAAATTTGTATTTCTATAGAAATACAAAGTTAAAAAATAAGCTGTCTTCATAGTATTGTTATATATGAGCACGGAAACGATTCTATAGGAATTAAATTAACCAAAAACTGGAAACTATGTAATCGTAATAGATTTTTCCATATGCATTAGTAAGAAATAAGAGAATTAAAATCATAATTGATAGTTTTATTGATTTCATTATTATTTTATCCCCCACGGTTGGTTATTTCGTTGAACAGGAGATTAAACGATAAATTACTGCTTAACCGGGAGTTTTCATGAGGATAAATAAATAAATCGCTACGCTCGTGAGGTTAAGAACCCCAAAAAGGTCTTGGAGGCCCTCGGCTAAGTGGTTTTCCCCTCAATTTAATTATCCTCCCTTAATCTCCCGGTTAAGTAGTAATTAATAGTTATACAATTAACAAGATTTCAACTTTCCAGTTATTTTTTGGCGGAGACCTCAGAATTGTCTAATTTTAATAATTTGCTCCTCAATCTTAACACAAATATCAGCTCAGTTCTTTTCAGGTTCGAGATCCTTACCCATCCATTGGTGAGGTTGCAATAGGGAAAATAGGTCGGCACGTATCCAGTATTTGTATCGCCTGTACCCTGTATGGTGGAGGATGTGTTATTATTGTCTTAATATCAGGTACTATACAGGGTTACCCACATAGGATGAGACTCCAGATACAACTTTAAACGGAATTTACACTTTATGTTTCTTTATATTTACGATTTTCTGCTCCTGTTCACTGTTTCTTTCTTTACTTAAACAATACAAAGACTATATCTATTGCAAAAGACGTAATTTGACCTTAGAATCGTAATATTTAAAGTTTCAGGTCGTCTTTACAGTCTTATTCTTTGTTGGTAACGCTGTTTAGTAAATGCACACTGAACTCTCGGTAGAACTACATTAGCAAACTTTACACGGGAGCTTATAGGGACTGTAAGAGTAATTTCAAGTGACCCTTCATGCAAAGATTAGTAAGGATATATCCAACATCCTTTATCAGTCAAAGGCTTAAGAAGTATTGTTGTGAATATGACATTCCGCTCTACAAAATAGAGGGTAACTTACTTTACAGTCCCTTTAAGTTTGGCAGGAGAAGAATCTGTAAAACTTTCCATCAACAAAATCAGACATTATATAAAACTATCAAAAGCATTTTTAAACTTTTTAATCTCTAATTTTCTCAAAAGTTTTCTGTCAAATAAAAATTTTCACATGAAAAGACATATTAG